AAGCCAGACTGAAACTTTTCATGGATTCCATGGATGGTTAAAAAAGACTGCAGCTGGACGTAGACTACTCGCTCCAGGGCCTTCGATAAAAAAGGTAGCTGGGAGATGGGCCTAAAATTTGCGAGAATGGAAGGGTCGGGATTTTTCTTTTTAAGGAGTGGCTTAACCACGGCATGTTTGAAGGCAGCTGGGACACATCCTGAGCTAAGAGAGGTGTTTAAAAGTAATAAAATACTTGCTCCAACTGATTCTAAAACGTCTCTGAGAAGGCGAGAGGGAATGCTGTCTGAGGTGCAGTTTGTCGGCCGCAGGTGCTTGACTACATCCGAGAGAGAAGAGAGGGATACAGGCTCAAAGTGGTCGAGGACAGCAGGGCACAGAAAAGGAGCAGGATCTGGGGTAGCACTAGTGTGGGCTAGCCTAAGAGCAGATACCTTTTCAATAAAAAATGTAAGAAACTTATCACAGAGAGTAGTCGATTGCACAATAGAAGAAACATCACAGGGATTAATGATCGAGTTGAGGACATTAAAAAGAACTTGAGGTTTATGGCTGTTTTTGGAGATGAACAGAGAAATGTGCTCTGTTTTGGCTGCTTTGACTGCCGTCTGGTAGTCAGAAAGGCAAGCACCAAGGATTTCTAGGGAGACATGGAGTTTATCCTTTTTCCATTTTCTCTCTGCACGCCTGCAAGCGCGTCTAAGATCACGAGTACAGTCATTGAGCCACGGCTCTGAGAGAACTTTGGTGCGTCTAAGCGTAAAAGGAGCAACAGAATCCAGTGTTAGGGTACATGTCGAGTCAAAGATGGAGATAAGCTCATCAGCATTAAAAACACAGTTCACATCTAATTTACAGATCGGAGAAGCATTAAAAACATCAGAGAACTGTGAGGCAGTCAAGGGGTTAATCGAACGCAGACGACACGCAGGGGCACGTGATTCGACTCCTGTGGAAGGGATGGAGGTTGTAAACAGAACCGGTAAATGGTCTGAGATACGCGTTGCTGCACAGATTTCATCCACAGACACAGACGGTCCAAACGATAATACTAAGTCCAAAGTGTGTCCTTTTTCGTGTGTTGGGCCACGGACTGAACGAGACCAAAAGAATCAAGGAGATTTAAAAAGTCCCTAACCAGAGGTTTGGACTCGCAACACACATGGACATTGAAGTCTCCGGAGATCAAAACACGATCATATTTCACCATGATCCCGGACAGAAAGTCAGAAAAGTCATTTATGAAATCCTTATTACACTTTGGCGGACGATACACGACTGCGCAGAGTATAGGTGAGGCCGGGTTCAGTTCAAAAAGCTGCAACTCAAAGCTGGCATAGCTAGATACAGGGTGAAGCAATCGGCATTGGAGGCTAGCTCTAAACACTGATGCTATGCCCCCACCATGGCCAGTGGCACGGGGGGAGCTGAAGAATGTACAGTCAGGAGGAAGAAGTTCAGAGAACGGTGTATACTCGCCAGCGTGGACCCAGGTCTCCGTCAGGAACATAAAATCCAGTTCACGAGAGGTGAAGAAGTCGTTTAGCAGGAAAGTCTTGTTTGCTATCGACCTAGCATTTAGCAAAGCCATGCAAAGTTTTCGCTCCGGGCTTGCCGAAGGTGTAGTGTGTCTCAGCTGACGAAGATGTGCGTGTTGAATGCCGCGCGGGCCGGGAGCAGTCAGTCGGGCAGGAGGAGCTGCCAGCGGGCCCAGCAGAGGCCGCAGCTCCGGAAAGACAGGGCGAATCCACCGAACCCTCACATGGCGTGCAGCGGGAGGGCCATGACATCCGAGGCGTGGATAAGTCCCAGAAGAAGCCGTCAGGTATGCCTTCAGATGGACCAGTGCACCACCACGCTTTCCCCGTCTTCTAAAGCGCTTTCGGCGAGGCAGGATGCAGGGCAACCGTTAGGTATATCCAACAGTAGAGGGGGGGGGGGAGTCGATTTATGGTTGCCAGATGTAGGTAGATGCCAGATGTAGGTAGGCATGTAGGTAGATGCTGCATTAAACTTATCCAGTGCTGTATAGTATTCACATGGAGATAAGCCCCGAATATTCGCATCGCTCTAATCTCTCGAGTTTCACCGTGGCTGTCAGCTGTGTTTACTCCTGTCATTCAAACAGGAAGCGCTGGAGAGGGGGCGGGGCTTATATCCATGCAAATGCTATGGTAGATACCAACTACAACAAAATGAACATATTTTACGGTGATTTAATTGTAATACACGTTTCAAAATGATGCCGAGGTAACAACATACTGATACCGGTTAGTAAAAACCATGAATTCATGCTTTGACAAGACGGCAGGCGAAGCACCTTTTAAAATGCGTGTTTTCTGAATGGAGATCGGATCGATCAGGCTAAGCTAACCTGTGCACTGCAAAAACAGCCTTTCCAAAAACATATGATGATACTGATGATACAGTTGTTTTTACTCATGGCAAAACCGCAGAAGAGGTTGCTACCAAGGTCACTGATGTCTTGGTGAATATTACCTCCTGGCTTAACAACAACTGTTTGCAACCAAATATTTCAAAGACAGTGTGTATGTTCTTCTCCAAGCGCCACAGCATTGTTACAGAACAGGATGTTTTTTTTTCTGGAAGGAGACTTCAGGTTGTCTCGGAGTATAAGTACTTAGGAGTACACATTGACACAAACCTCAGTTTCAAAACCCACATCAAAAAGGTCTGCAATAAAGTGAAGTTCAATCTGTCAAATTTTAGATACATTAGAAACTTCCTATCGACTGCAGCAGCAGAGCTATACCTTCACTCAATGGTCCTCTCCCACATCAACTACTGTCTGATAAGCTGCTCTGATGCACACTCTGCAGCTCTAAGGCCACTGGAATCACTTTATAAACAAGCACTCAGAACACGAGACAAAAAGCCATTCCGGTATCATCATTGTTAAAAAGTATAATCTGTTCAGCTGGGGAAATCTCATAGTTTACAAAAACGTCTGCTTAGTTTATAAGATCACTCGTGGGTTGGCTCCTCCTCCACTGGCTGGCTGCATCAGCCTAAAGCTCACCTCAACCAGGGCTAGAGGTGCGGCTAGGGGGGTCGGCACCATCCCATTTAGGAAGAGTGCATTCAGGCAGGCTGTCTTTTCATTCCACGCACGTTAGGAATTCACTACCACCATCTATAAGAGAGTCCTCATCCTACTACTCATTCAAGCACAGTGTGAACAAGTGGCTCATTGATCATCAACAGTGTGTGTGTGTGTGTGTGTGTGTGTGTGTGTGTGTGTGTGTGTGTGTGTGTGTGTGTGTGTGTGTGTGTGTGTGTGTGTGTGTGTGTGTGTGTGTGTGTGTGTGTGTGTGTGTGTGTGTGTGTGTGTGTGTGTGTGAGTGCATATTGTGAATGTTTTCTTTATTATCATGACTTGCTCTTACCTGTATTCAGTGATGTCGTCTATTGTAAATATGTACTTTTTTTTGTTGGTATAACAATGTCATGGTATTTTAATTCTTGCTTGTAGGATGCCTATCACTAAACTAGCCTTTTGGCTCATTCGAGTACTTAATGTACACTGTCCCTTGTTTTAAATAAATCAATTCAATTCAATATATGAAATGTAAAATTGGTGTCATTTCAACAGATTCTTAAATTGAGAAGTTGTTTGATGGTGTATTTCTTAAAATAAGAAAAATAAATCTGTTCCATGCACTGCAAAAAAGGAATTTTAAGAAAGTAAAAAATACTTATTTCTGGGAAACAATTCTTATTTTTCGTCTAAAATGTCAAATAATCTTGTTAAGAATGTTTTGCTTAAGAAAAATATTCTTACTGTGAGAAAATATATCTTACTTTTTTTTCCGGCATGCCGGGAATGTATGCAAACCAATACTTTAACTTGTTACTGGTTAATTGTAGCTCAATATAAGATAGCATTTTTTAATAAGAAAAAGTAAGATATATTTTCTCAAAGTAAGAATACTTTTCTTAAAGGGGACCAATCATGCAAAATGCACTTGTGTACGTCTTTTCTACATGAATATGTGTCCCCGGTGTTCCAGGGAACTCACCAAGTGTCAGAAAACACAACCCTCTCTATTTTCCTCCATACCCAAATCTCTAAAAAAGGGGCTGCAACGGATCTGATAAAAACTGATCCAGATTTGAACACTGTCCTGACGTCAGGACGGTGGCGCTACGGCTATTGGGCCAACTCCACCAATCAGGAGGAGACAGCCACGGCCATTGCCGTTCGAAAGCGCTGGAGACGCTGTAGTACATATGCCAGGCCTGTAGGTGGTGCTGTTCTCACTGAATCTGCCCTTGCTAAAACAGAGCTAAAAAATGTCAAATTGAGCGAAATGAGGCATGGTTAAAATGCATGATCTGTTTGGTATTTTGAAGAAAAAAAAAAGTATAAATATGCCTTATATAGGTATGGTCCTACACTATATTATTCAAATATAGAATGATAGGTCCACTTTAAGCAAAACATTCTCAACAAGATTATTTGACTTTTTAGACGAAATAAGAATTGTTTCCAGAAACAAGTTTTTTTTACTTTCTTAAAATTCCTTTTTTGCAGTGTAGCCGCTCCGTCCAAACTCACAACAACGTCAAACAGGAAATACGTGGCGCAGTCCGGTGCTGACCAATCACAAAGCGTAATTTCTTGACTGGCAGCAAAACAACCAATCACAGCAGTGCTTCTCCGGCTGGCTCTGATCAATCACAAACAAGAAGTGTTCTCCCTAAAGGAATACCCTTTCCGTGATTTTCTGAAATGCTGTAGTGTTTTGTGAAATGCTGTAAAATCAGTTTTAAACACATGAACCATTACTGGTTTCGATTTCAATTTTGTTGAAATAGACCGACACAAACACACACAAATACACAGAGAAAAGTAAACTGTACACACTATTTTTTTTCCCTTTTCAACCCGTTATTACTTGACACTTCTTTCATGTCAACAAAGCACTTTGAATTGAATATACTGCAGGTTTTGTGTGTTTCCTGAACACTGAACTCACCCTGGCTGACCACCACCAACACCATGAGAGCGAGAACCACAGTCTTCATGTTTTCACCAGTCTGTACACAACTCTGTGTATGGAAAAAAGCAAAGGTGAAAAGTGTGACAAATGAAAAGCTACTTTTAAGTTGAAGCATTTCAATAAATGCACGTTTGAAAAGAGAACTCAAAGATATCTAACCTTGTATTGTCCCACTGCGTTGTTGATTCTTCTGATCTGTGCTGCCAGGCTGCAAGTTTAGGACTTGTTGAGGAATTGAATCCATCCAGCGTCAATGAAGCCTTTACTTACGGGCTCCAGGGTTAAGAGCGATGCTGCCACACACTTGATTCAAACAAGTCTCCACAGGACCTGGACACGTCTTGGAGGTGCCTGCACATTAACACTTCAACGCTTCACCTGGAAACATTTGCAAATAATGTCAAACCATTGTGAAGAATATACAAACCACAAATGATTGTTCTTCTGTTTGAACCAGATATACTGTAATCCTCAATTTGTAGATGAAGAGTTGTTCATTTGGACAATAGAAAACACACAAACATAACGGAGATCAAATAAATCACATAAGTCTATTAACAGATAGAAAGTCAGAAAATAATGAGACTTCAAAACATGGATGGCAAACTATATGATCATGACATGATTTAAACAGCGATGCAAATTAGAATAAAACATAAACAAAGCAGAACAAAGACAGATAATGGTGTGTAAGAGTGTGTGTTCAGTATATGTGTGCGTATGCAAAAGGGATCATGAATCAGAATGAAAATGGACCAGTAAATGACACAAGGCTGAGGTCTTGGTTAAAGTGGACCTATCATGCTATATTTGAATAATATATTGTAGGGCCATACCTATATAAGGTATATTTATACGTTTTCTTTTTCAAAATACCAAACAGATCATGCATTTTAGCCATGCCTCATTTCGCTCTATTTTGCTCTCCTCCACCCTGTCTTTGCATGTTGACCACGCCCCCCTGCAAAGGAGGGGGGCGAGTTACGAGCGTCGTGTTACCATGCTGTTACCATGCTGTTACCATGCCACGGCAACCTCTCATTCCCCTGATAGGTCAGCTCCTCCGTCCTGACGTCAGGACAGTGTTCAAATCTGGATCAGTTTGTATCAGATCCGTTGCAGCCCCTTTTTTAGAGATTTGGGTATGGAGGAAAATAGAGAGGGTTGTGTTTTCTGACACTTGGTGAGTTCCCTGGAACACCGGGGACACATATTCATGTAGAAAAGACGTACAAAAGTGCATTTTGCATGATAGGTCCCCTTTAAGATACGGGGTTTATTTGGTGGGACCTATTCCAACCCGTAAGAACTGGGTTGTAAGACAGAAAAAGGTAAACAACAAATAAATATGTAATATATGTCATCACTGTTAATGCCGCCAATTAAACAATAAACGGCACACATCCCACACAGCAAGTAGCACAAGCTAACAATAGCATGTAGCACAAGCTAGAGCATAGCATACATACATACACACACAAACCTGCAGCTCAACCGCACACAATTACACAAACAACCAGCACGAAAACGTACCTCGTAGGCTGCTAGTCACCTAGAGGGGCTGATCACTTTATCTGCATTTTTCCCTTGGTTTCTTTAGTTTTCCTTTAACGTCCAGCGCTGCTCTGCCGTTGCAACTACCAAGTACGTTGATTAAACAAACAGGTGTAACACAAAACACCGCAGATTAGTTCCTCCTCTATTAATGTTGCACATAAAAGGTAGGAACCAAAAATACAACGTGGAACAAATGAACAACAGAAAGTGAAGACAGTTACACTCCCACCAAATCACCTGTGATTTCCATAAACATTTTTAGAAAACCAATGTACTCTTTATAACATGAATGTAAAACTAACTATTTCATACTTATTAAGTGCAGAGTGTGAGTGAGAGTAACTGTTCAGAGTCTTAGCCTGCTTCCAACAACAACACCGTCTTGTGGATAGGCCTTTCGAGGTAGACAGGTTTAGCGAGGCGCTTTCCCTTTCCATCCAGGGTAGAGTCGCTGATAAGCAGCTTGAGCCTTCTCACTCTTCCATACACTTCCACAACCCTGGCCAGCTTCCATTGGCCACGTGCAGAGTTGGGTGTAACGCGTTACTGTAATAATATTACTTTTGTCGGTAACGGAGTAGTGTAACGCGTTACTTTTATAATTCAGTAATCACACTACAGTTACTAACATTGCCCCGACACGCGTTACTTCGTTACTTTTATAAAATCAGTCATAATCACACTGACAGACAAGAGGGGTTTCCGCCGCAGGTTTATATGTACGTAATCTGCGCGACTTGCACGTCCACATCTCCACGTGCAGTGCTGCATAAACATGGCTGAGTCAGCGATAACTTTCGAGGGGTGGAGGTATGCCCATTATTTTGAGTTCGTCCGAAGAATAGACAGGAATGTGACGGTGAGGTGCAAACTGTGTCCAGGCCAGAAGCTGTTATCCACTGCTGCAAACACCACGTCAAACCTCAACAAACACCTGCAAAGAACACATGCTAAGGTGAAGCTAATAGCTAAGGACCCCCGAACCCAGAGTGAGGATGTTGTGAGTGCGCCGTCGCCGACTCCGAAGCAGCACAAATTAGAACTTGGAGGACCGGTAACCAAAGCAGAGATGGACAGGCTTGTAGCATCCTTCATAGTAGAGGTAATGTTGCCCATTTGCACAGTGGAATCACCATCGCATCGTTCAGAGATATACTGCGCAAAATACAGATAGCAGGAGACAGAGGACAGCCATGGTCAGAGCTATCTGGATCAGTCTTATGCGACAATGGAAACTGAACAAAAGAGAACATTTGAAACTTTAGCAGTCTGCGTGATCTGCCTGTAGGGAGGGGCGGGCCGGCCCTGAGAGTAAAGTAACGAGTAAAGTAACGAGTAAAGTAACGAGTAAAGTAACGAGTTACTTTATGTAGAGAGTAACCAAGTAGTGTAATATATTACTTTTTTTTTAAAGTAATATGTAATATGTAATATATTACTTTTTTTTAGTAACGACCCCATCTCTGGCCACGTGGTATAGTGTTGTCTTGCAGAATGACAACGTCATTTAACTTGACGTTTCTGCGGTCCTTGATCCACTTTGGTCTTTGTTGGAGATGGTACTCCTTATGCTGCTGAAGGCACTTTATTTCTTGAGAGAGTGCTGCTTCTTGAACCATCTCGATTATGGTCAGCTCTGCTTCTCTCCTCTACTCTAAGCTTGTGGCTTCACAGGACCTTGGCTTGAGACCTTTAATTTCCTTTGCAAGGCGCTTGAGTCTGGCAAAGGCTTTAACCACTCTTGACCAGTCTGAGAATTTGTGAAAGTGATCTAGTAGCGACTTTACTTCGTTTGCCTGGGTATCATGAACCTGGGCCTTCTTAAGCTCTGGGTCACTACTCACGATCTCTCCCACCTTGACTTCTCCACTTGGTAGCTCTTTCTGCCAACGTAGGTCTGGGCCTGTGAACCAATTTGAGGCTTGAAGTTGCTGTGAGACCTCTGAAGGCCTGATCTGCAGGGTTATCTTCAGAAGCTCTTTCCACAAAGTCAGATTCCAGCACCTCGATGACATCTGCAGGTGAGACTTCCTTAATCTGTGTTCTACAGACGTAGTGTACTTCCCTTGGGAGGTTTGAAGACTGGAGACCTGGTATCACTTTTACCTAATGACTTACTCCAATCATATCTCCAATGTCGAGACAGGGATTGCCAAAGCCGACAACACTCCATCCCAAATCTGTTCTCTGTGCAAAGGGCTGGTTTTCTTCACCAGGCACCACTTCTCTTGGGACGAGAGCTTGAGGACAGTTGTAGCCGATAAGCAGGCCAATATCACAGCTTTGCTGAGGAGCGATCTCATCTGCGAGGTGTTCAAGACGAGGCCATGCCTTTGCAGTCTCTGGTGTGGGAATATGGTCTCTGCTTGCAGGGATGAATTCTCTTGAGTAGGTTATTGGCAGAGGTATTATCCTGTCCGAGTAGATTCCTCTCACTTGGAGACCAGTTAGCTTCCTACATGACACGACTGTGCTTCTTGAAGCCATTGTGGAGAGCTTTAGCTGCACTGATTCATTCTTTGTGCAAAGAGCCTTTGCTGTTTCTTCAAGGATAAAGCTTGTGTCACTCTGTGTATCGAGGAGTGCATACACAAGTCTTTCACTATGTGGCTCACTTGTGGCTGACACCCACACTGGAACGATTGTGGATGTATGGGGGTCTTTAACATTCTGGAAGACTGTGTTGGATGTTGCCTCACGTGGTGTGCTTGCCGCTTTACTTTGTGGACGTTCCATCGTGCTTTCTCTTGCACCATCATGGTTTGTTGACATTCTTTCTTCTCTGGTGCGATTGTCGTGGAGACAAGTTGGATGTCCTTTCTCGCATGTTTCGCACATCTTTCTGTTTTTACATTCCTTTGAGCGATGGCCAGATTTCAAACAGCCAAAGCACAACTTCTTCTCTTGAACAAACTTGACTCGCTCAGAGATTGTCTCGTTCATGAATTTGTAACATTTGTGCAGACCGTGTCCTGCCTTCTCACAGAAAAGAGAGTTTGTGGTATCTGCTCTTTCATCTGTGTCTGTAGTCAATACATTTATTATTTTAATATTGCTCATGTAAGCCTTACATAGTCTGAGTTATTCAGATGCACGTAGTTTAACTGGATGAAGACACCTGTGAAGCCCATCTAGAAAAACCCTATCATTTGTAGTTGATATAGCAGCATCATTTTATCTTAAGAACATCAACAGATCACACCAAAAATGATAAAGACAGTTTGAAAGTTCATGAATCATTTCTGAACCTTTTGATTGTCAACAGATTTCCAGCGCAAAGGTATTTACTGGATTATTTCCAAGAGGCGTGCCTGAACACTGTTTTGCAACAGCAACACACTTGAAGGAAAATGATCAGACAAACAAGGCAACGTTACATTGGGACATCAGAGAAAACAAAAGGGGTGCACAAGCTAGAGTTTAACCTTCAGGCAGTCCCTCATATTAAAACAGTGTGTTGTTTCAACCTGATTTGAAAGCTTGATTAGGAAAATGTGCCTTAAGCCTAACTTTCTGTATAACATCGTAAAACATGTCTCTGCAAGTATATACGTTTTCACAATGAGACTTTGTAATAAAAACAGTGCAGACTTTGTGATTGATCTTTATTATAAGAATGGAAAACTACACAGCACATAAAGGTCGAATATTATTATAACTGAAAGATGTGAAGCACGATTCTTTCTGCTCTT